TAGGGAGGGAGGGAGGGAGGGAGTTCGAAGAGGGAGAGGAGGGAGAGTGAGACTAGTTGACAAAGGAGGAAGAGATAGGGGAGTGAGAGGAAGAAGAGTGAGAGGGAAGGAGAGTGATAATGATTGACAAGGGTGGAAGGGTAAGGGGAGAGGAGAGGGAAAGCGCGCGCCCGCACACACACACACACACACACACACACACATACACACACAAACACACACACACACACACACACACACACATACACACAAAAAAAAAATAATAAAAAAAAAAAAAACACAAAAGTAAGAATAAAAGACAAAAACAAAACCAACAAACCAACAAACTAACCTCGGACGCACTGACCCCCACCAGATCATTAAAAAAAAAAAAAAAAGCAAAACGACCCCATCAAACCAAACAATCCGAAACAGTCTCTATAAAAAAAAAATCCCATATACATATACATTTCTCTTCCTCTAAGACTCCCAATAAACCGAACAAAAACACGCCAAGCCTGGACAAGACGAGACAATCAGATTAGCCAATCGATCGCAACGACTCTGAGGGAGGAGACCGCCGCGTCCGAAACCCTGCGACGATGTATGGCTATTGCCTTAATCAAGCGGATTCCCAAAACTTCGCCTTAAACGAAGTCAAGCCGAAGCCAAAAACAAAGTTAAAACGAAGGTAAAAAAAAATAATAATAATAATAATAATAATAAAAAATAACAATAATAATAATAATAATAATAAAAAGCTAAAAAAAAAAAGGTAAAATTTAACTTAAAAAAAACGTTTAAAAAAAGAGTCTAAACCATAACTTGAAGTAAAAACCAGATCTCCAAGAAAACGAAAATGAAGTTAACAGATGAAAAAGTAAAAAAAAAAAAAAAAAAAAAAAAAAAGCCACATCGTTAAAAAAACCCAAGACAAGATTAAAACAAAACAAAACAAAAAAATAAAAAAAACGAAGCTAAAAACTAAAATAAAACAAAACAAAAATTGCGCTTTCAAGTCTTCTCTAAAACGGAAACGGAATCTGGGCCAAGGGTTTGAATCGAGGAATACGAAAGACGGACGAAGAGGAGGAGGAAGAAGAGGAGGAAGAGGAGGAGGGGGAGGAAGGGGAGTAGGGGGAGGGGGAGGGGGAGGGGGAGGAGGAGGGGGAGGAGGAGAAGGAGGAGGGGGGAGGGGGAGGAGAAGAAGGAGAGGGGGAGGGGGGGGGAGGGGGAGGAGGAGGAGGAGGAGGAGGAGGAGGAGGAGGAGGAGGAGGAGGAGGAGGGGGAGGAGGAGGGGGGAGGACCCAAGTACGACGAAGTACACGCACTTAAATGAAAATGTATCTTAATTGCTTTTTTTTTCTTTTTCCGTTCCATCCGTCTTTCTTAATCTCTCTCTTCTTCTTCCTCTTTCTCCTTCTCTTCTCTCTCTTTGCCTATCTCATCCCCGTTCTTTCTTCCCCATTTCCTTTCTCCCTCCCTACTTCCATCCTTTCCGTCTTTTCTATCTTCTCTCTCTTCATTACTCTTCCTCTATCTCCATCACTTTCTTTCTCTCCTCCTCCTCCTTCCATCCTCTCCATCTCTCTTCCTCCCCCTAAATCTCCTTCACTCTCCTGCTTCCCTCCTACCCCTTTCATTCTCTCCCTCTCTCTTTCCCTCTTCTCCTCTCCTCTCCTCTCCTCCCTCTCCCATCCTCTCTCCACCTCCCCCACTCTCCTCCTTTCCTCCTTTCATTCTCTCCCTCCCTCTCCCTCTCCCTCTCCCTCTCCCTCTCCCTCTTCTCTTCTTCTCTCTTCTCCTCCTTCCTCTCTCCCTCTCCTCCTTCCCATTCTCTTTTCTCCCGCTCTCTCTCTCCTCTCTCTCTCTCATCTCTCTCTCTCTCTCTCTCATCTCTCTCTCTCATCTCTCTCGTCTCTCTCTCTCTCTCTCTCTCTCTCTCTCTCCCCCTCTTCTCTTCTCCTCCCCATCCTCTCTCCACCTCCCTCCCTCTCCTCCTCTCTTCCTTCCCCTTTCATTCTCTCCCTCCCTCTCTCTCTCCCTCTTCTCTTCTCCTTTCCTCTCTTCCCTCTCCCTTCCTCTCTCCACCTCCCTCCCTCTCCTCCTCTCCTCCTTCCCATTCTCTTTTCTCCCTCTCTCTCTCCCTCTTCTCTTCTCCTCTCCTCCCTCTCTCCACCTCTCTCCACCTCCCTCTCCCTCTCCTCCTCTCCTCCTTCCCCTATCATTCTCTCCCTCCCTCTCCCTCCCTCCCTCTTCTCCTTTCCTCTCCTCCCTCTCCCTTCCTCTCTCCACCTCCCTCCCTCTCCTCCTCTCCTCCTACCCCTTTCATTCTCTCCCTCCCTCCCTCTCCCTTCCTCTCTCCTCTCTTCTCCTCTCCTCTCTTCTCCTCCCCTTCCTCTCTCCACCTCCCTCTCCCTCTCCTCCTCTCCTCCTCCCTATTCTCTTCTCTCCCTCAATCAATACAAAGATACCTCGCAACATTATTTCACGGAATTTTCTCTTCCACGCAGACCTCGCCGCTGATATGCTCGTGATAAACAGGCCTTAATGACACGCCTCGGTGAATAGGTCGATTTCAGGGTGAAAAATGAAGGGCGGGGCAAGGGGGGATGGGGGGGGAGAAGGGGGATAGGAGGGATGGGGGAGGGGAGAAGGGGGAAGGGAGGGATGGGGGGAGAAAGGGAAAGGGAGGGAAGAGGAGGGAAGGGGGGGGGGGGAGGGAGAGAGAGAGAGAGAGAGAGAGAGAGAGAGAGAGAGAGAGAGAGAGAGAGAGAGAGAGAGAGAGAGAGAGAGAGAGAGAGAGATGGGAAAGGAGAGGGGGAAGGTAGGGGTGGGGGTAGGAAGAGAGAGGGAAGGGGAAATAGAGAAATGGAGAGGGAGAGGGAGGGGGAGAGGAAGAATGAAAAGGGAAAGAGAAAGAGAAAGAGAGAGAGAGGAAGAGACAAGGGAAGAAAGGGAGATGATAAAGAAGAGTCAGAAGACAAGAAGACGCACTTTACACAACAGAAGTCGCACACCTGTGTTGTGTCTTCCCCCCTCCCCCCTCTCCTCTTCCCCCTGTGCCATTCTCAGTCATACCCCTAACCCATCCCTCCTCCCCCTATATCTCCTTCCCCCCTTCCCCCCCTCCTCTTTCCTCTCCTCTCCTCTGATCTACGTCCCCCTCTTTTCTCCCTCTTCCACCTTTTCTCTTTTCTCATCTACTCCCCTTCTTTCTTCTTTCCTCTACTTCCCATTTTTCCCCCTTCCACCCCCATTACCCATTCCCTCCCTTCATCTAATAACCACACGTAATAAACGAATAATAAACAAATAAATGAATACTAATTATCATCATCATTTCCTTCAACACAATCCTCAAAGAAGTGAATTGATAAATAATAAGTAAATAAACCAATAAATGAATAATAAGAATAAGAAGAAATATGATTCCTCCCCACAATCCCACACAAACAAACAAACAATCATCCCCATCATCCTTCCCCACAATCTCCCTCCCCCCCTCCCCTCCCCCCAACACACTATAACTACCTGGCTCATCATCGCCACCAGCGCCATCAGAGGCCTTGCTGAAGAACCAGCTGAAGCCGCCATACCAGGGGGCGCTGCCGTCCGCCGGGTCCTCACCTGGAACACAGAAAACGGGGAATAGGCGTCAGATTTTTTTTCTTTTTCTTTTTTTTTTGGAGGGGAAACTGCGCAAAAAATAAAAATATATAGGACTCATAAACATATAGTAAGTTAAATAATAATAATAATAATAATAATAATAATAATAATAAAATAAAGAAATAAAAAAATAAGAAAATATATGACTGTCATAAATATATAAGTAAAAAAATAAGAAAAAAAATATATATATATATATGACTGTCATAAATATATAGTAAGTTAAAGTTTTCCTTGGCGCTTATTCGTATAGGGAAATAGGATTAATTCAATGCTTATATAACCTGTTGGATAGCATTATCGGTAAACTGAGTAGTGTTTATAGATAAGCATTGAGGTAAATGTATTGGTTTGTATAATCATTAGTAATGCTAATAGTGATTATGACTGGGATTGTGGTAATGATGTCATGATTACCATTGTGCTCGTATGATTATCATAACAATACTAACAGTATAATTACTCTCCCTCTCCATCTCCCTCTCCCTCCCTCCTTCTCCTTCTCTTCCTCTCTCTCTTCTTTCTTCCCCCCCCTCTCTCTCCTCCTTCCCTCCCTCTCTTCTTTCTCTTCTCCCCCCCTCTCTCTCTCTCTCTCTCTCTCTCTCTCTCTCTCTCTCTCTCTCTCTCTCTCTCTCTCTCTCTCTCTCTCTCTCTCTCTCTCTCTCTCTCTCTCTCTCTCTCTCTCCCTCTCTCTCTCTCTCTCTCTCTCTCTCTCTCTCTCTCTCTCTCTCTCTCTCTCTCTCTCTCTCTCTCTCTCTCTCTCTCTCCCCGTCACTCTCTCCCCGTCACTCTCTCACTGTCGCTCTCTCTCTGTCGCTCTCTCTCTGTCCCTCTCTCTCCCTCTCCTTCCCTCCCCCACTTTCTCTCCTTCCCTCCCCCCCCACTCTCTCTCCTTCCCTCCCCCCACTCTCTCCCTCCCTCCCTCTCCCTCTGACTCCGTTTCTCGCAAAACAGTCACTCGGCAATTCACAAAATGGGGGAAAAATAATTAAAATTCACCTCATCTGCATTAGCCAGACGCCCTCCCCCCCCCCACCCCCACCCCACACCCCCTTACACCCACACTACCACCACACTACTTCTACCGTGTTGCGTGGCGCAGTGGTAGCGTTCTCGCGTGGCAATCTCGCTGCCCCGCGTTCGAGTCCCGCACTGACGGCAGATGGCAACCCCGGCCACTCCTCGCACACTGGGAGTAATTTAGAGGCACAGCAAAGGGCAACTTGTCTCGAGCCTCGCAACAGTCTCTCGCCCAAAATGCCTAAATTAGCATTATCATTTAACATTACCCTTATTCCTCCTACTTCTAACGCCAACTCTTAATCCTACGGCCCAATTCCCATTCCCAT